TATAAACAAATAGTTTAACAAAATAAACAAATGGGCTTGCAAACAGACGAATGAATAGATGAAAAGATGGATGAATAGATAGATAGATAGATAGATAGATAGATAGATAGCTAGGTGGATAGATAGCGGGCAAAAGAGGAAGAAAGAGAGAGGCATGGCGCGACGCGTCATTGCACGTGCACGTGCATTGATACCGATATTTATGCCCGCCAGTTAATCATGTCAAAGTCGTTTGATTTGTCGTTGGCTTTTATGGAGGGGAATTAAAACGTTCATTTCGCCGCAGACACTCGGCAACAGTGTGCTCGTCCTGCTAGCGTTGCTGGCGGGTGTTGGTTGGTGTGCCGGTGCGTTGCCTGGGTGCTGTTGCCGCGATTGCTCTATGAATTATTTTCTGGACAACCCTTGCCTGGTGTAACAAAAGGGTGGAAGGGAGGGAGAGCTTTTTGGAAAATTACAGTATCTCGTTTACGTCGAAAATTCGTATCTGTGACGTGTCCCGTCGTGTTTCACATGGATTGTTACAACCTGCGACTCGATAAACCATAAACGAATGAAAAGTATCGCGAAAATGAAATTCGAAGATTTTTTAAGAAATTACGGGAACAGCGGTAATTCATAGTTCTCGCTGTGCTTCGCCAGTTCAGTCTACCGTTTATCGCGAAGTGATAACGTTTAAGGAAAAGAAGTTGCACGCGGGTTGTTACGATCGCGTTTCACCGTTTTCAGGCTGCAGTTATAATGGGCGTGTGTCGTCTGACGACTATATTCGCGAGAATTATACAGACTGTCTGTCTGATCGCTCCGACGTAATTCGTAAGGTTACGGTTGTGGTGGAACGTGCTTCTGACGAACTGTCGCGTCGTTTTGACAGATGAAATATCCGAATGTTTCGCAGCAGCTACTCTCGGAAGGATCTATATTAGAGACCACTCGGTTTTCAACCGTGTACCGAATTACACGTGGAACTGAAGTCGACAGTTACAGTTGAAGTCGATGTCACAGTTTTCGATTGCTCGGTCGAGCTTCAAAAATCACCTCTTTCATATGTTAAATTAAATAGAGATGTAAGTATCTCGCACTTTACTTGCTAGTAGATCTACTAGACTGACAAGTCCTGTATTGAAGAGATTAATGTGTGTTTTAATACACGTGACACATGAACGTAATTTAATACACGTGTTTCGAGAAACGAAAGATTCATTGCTTTATTCAATCATAGACATTTCACTGGTTTGCATCGCTTTGATTGAGATTCAGATTTCTTCGTTTCTGGCAGCTCGGGTGAGATGTAAAACTTATATATTTCTGGCAGAATATGTATAGGTATGCAATGTGTGATATATTAAGAATACATCCGTGAAACACGGGTACTAAAAATTACATTGAGATCATCACAAGATTATTTCAGAATTCTAATTTTACATTTCACTGTTTTCCGAGATAACTCGCCAAAATACCATAGCCCTCACATGTAAGATCGCTCTAGGCAAAAATACGTAACAGATAGCGATAAAAGAATGACCGATTGAACCTCGTATCGTATCGCATCGTATCGCATCGTATCGTTCGAGAACGTTTATCGTCAAATGTTCCGACGATGGTGAAAATTCTGAAGACGTGTGGACAAAGTTAGTAGGCGGATGGACGAGAAGGATGGCGGGGGTGGTCCCTTGCGTATCGACAGCCGTCCGTCAAGGTGGTCGGTGACACGCGAAGCTGAACGAACTAGAGAAAAAGTCGGAAGAACCGACATTCTCTCAGTCTCTTTCTCAGTCAGCCTGAGGATCGGTCTACCGAGAATACCGAGGCAAAGGGGACAAGAATGTTGGCAAGAGCGAGAGAGAGAAAGAGAAAGAGAGAGGGTGGAGAAAGTAAAAGGGGTCGCGAGGGAGGAAAGAAGTAGGGAGAAGAGGGGGGAGGGAGGGGTGTGGTAGAAAGATGGAAGGTGGAAAAGAGGAGGCAGTAGCAGTCGGCATCAGCTAGGTCCGCGCACTTCTATCACGTTGGGCGAACGGGCGGACAGCTCCGAGGCGATTTGTCTTTCATTTCGGGCTAATTTATTGCGCCCAAGCAGCTCCCCCTTTCTCTTTCTCTTTCTCTTTCTTCCTCGCGCGCGCGCACACACGCATGCACACACACATACACACGTACATACTTTCTCTCTCTCTCTCTCTCTCTCTCTCTCT